GCTGCAGCTCCTTCCCAAGGGACTCTTGTCACAGATCACATTTGGGCAGTAACTGAAAGCTTAGCTCCAAGTGGCATTACCAAGAATTTTTTGCTGCATTACATTATATCCCCCAAGGTGCAGGAGAACATTACTTGCAAGTTTGATGAGTAGCGTGCATTAGAAAAATGAAGCCATTAAATTCTCATAAGCTTTTCAATTTTTAATGTTATAAAACTCTAGAAATGCTTTTTGTACCCGGGGCATGCACCAGTTACCACAACAGCAAAGCCTGACTCTTCCTATTCAAGTCTTCCTAATGTCTCAGGCTCTCTCCTTCCCTTTATGCAGAACCATCCTCATTGTGGCTCCTTATGGCTCAGGCTGATTTTACTAAAAATACACAAGTGGCCCTTACTGACAAGGACCTGCACTGAGAAAAATGCTGCTTGCTATTTTCTGTAAGATGCATCTTGTTCTGTACCTTGGGATTTCTCATTTTGCCTTAATATTTTTTACTACAGTTCCAATTCCAGCTCATATTTCTCTTCTTTGTAACTGAATATTGGCATCTAAGACATCTTTCAGACCAATCTATTGACCCTTTCTATGAATTTATTATAATCCAACCCATTAGTTTCAGACCCTGTCCACACTGAGTTACATTTGTGGGTTTCTATCACTCCCTAATGATTGAAGTTTACAGGCTTTCAGACCATCATTTTCTTTTCGGCCTGGTAAATGCCACCTAGCACAGCCTTTCCACCAGGCAGAATGAAGATTCTATTTTTTGGCTGTTTCTGTTGCTTTCAGTCAATTTTTAAGAATCTGAGAAATATGTTTCAAAACTTTGTAAGAGACAGGCACAGACTGACTCTTACAGAGAATGCTATGAAAATCTCTTGTTTTACTTGTTTAGCAAAAGAAAAAACTCCAAATGCTCCAACTTGTGCCACAAAAGTGGACAAACAGAAATGTGCAAAACTGGATTAGCAGATGCCTCTGCCTTCATGTGAACCCAGCTGAGGAACTCAAATGTGTGTGAGCACAGATCAATGAATACACATTTTTCCACTCTGTAATCTTCATCCCTCAGTTAGTTATCATTTCCTGATTAAGCACAGGTATAAGATGCAGAATTTTCCCCAACATCACCCAATAAACAATTTAATCCTTATAATTAAAAATATCTTAACATCACAAAAGTGAAATCAGAGACTTAACAGACCCCCACAACTGTTCTTGTGTTAACACACTTCTGCCTCATCTGCCTCACTAACAAGTATTGTTTCAGAAAAATAAGCAGCTTCCCAGTGCTGCTTACACCTTCTAGGCACTTCATAGCAGAAGCCTGACAACTGTCCCTACACAAATAAATTTTAGCTGCATGTATTTTATGTACAGAACAGACTTATGAGGGAATAAGAGTAGCATCACAAATTTCAATCTGGTTAAGCCTCCCAAGCCACCTTTTAAAAATCAAATATACTTCATGTCACGTTTTTATTAGCAAGGAATTTCTTGTGCTGTCACATTATTCTCTTGCCAAGTTTGTTTATTTTTCTCAGAAGGTTTCTCCAGAGTAAAGCAATATTGATCAATGTAATGTCACTGACCCCAGAACACAATGTGTTAAATAATTCTCATTGTGCACATTCCATGACAAAACTGATGTGAAAACAATAATAAATGTTCAGCATAGGAGCTGGTTAAATAAAGCCTCTGGAATTTTAGGGTCACATGCTTTAATCCTATAACCTAGACTGCCTCTCTTTTTGTTTATATGAACTTACCATGCAAATGATTTTATTTGCTATTTGTAATTGAAAAATAAATCTACTTCAGAGCTCTAGAACTCAACTTCAAAACTCAATAGTTCATATTAAAAAGAAAAGAACCCTCAGTATCTCAGACTAGACCACCTGAATGATGTTTAAAAGCCCAGAAGGTATTTTGGGCACGCTTATTAAAATGCACCAGCCTTCTCTTTCTTTTGCCCTTCTCCCTAAGTGCATTTATTATGACATGTTTTACTTTCTTATCTCACAGCTTCTGCATTCACATACTCCTGTCACACTCCCCATTTTTCCTTAAGACTTTGTTCCTATTAGCATGTTCAAGGAATTCCAGCCTGCAGATTCTGTTCTGCACTTTCTGTGCCCAAAGAATGTGAAGTAAAACAGCTGAGACACAGAAACAAGAAAAGTTGATGCTATTTTATGATGTCTTATAGTTTACCAGTGGGGAGAATGGCAAATATGACTATAAACCCTGAAGGTCATTCCTAGGGATGTAGTGAACACTGATGCAATGCTCACTAATCTCAGCAGACATGATTTGGGAAAAAAAACTTAAAGCAAAGTGAGTCCTAGAGAGTTAAAACTCTCCTCTTGCCACCGAGCTCTCTCCAGCTCTGATCAGACCTCAAAAGTGTCCCAGAGCCTCAGAGACATCTCTGGACAGATGGGAATGAAACAAGAGGCACAGGAAAAAGCATCTGTGAACTGCCATTCAGGAATAAAGTAATTTTGATCACAACATAATTTGTAAAGACATGCAACTCTCTACAGCCTGCCAGACTGAGTCCCTCAGAAGGCCCCAGAGAGAACAAACAAATACCTGCTTCAAAGAGGTAGTAACTCAGCTATAAAAACTGTTAAGGATACAAAAAGCACAAAAGATGGATACAGATAGGGCAGGCAGAGCAACAGCAAGAAGCAATGAGGAGTAGTTTTCTTATGTAAGTGGGTTAATCACAGTCAAGTTTTTGTAGGCATGAAAAAATCCAGCATCTTAAAAAGAGTTTCAGAAGAGAAAAATAAGTAAGCAATAGAGATGTTCATGCAGCTTATGCCTGAGATGACACAGATGGGAGTCAAATGTTGGCTGATTCCCTGTCAAATGCAAGGCTACAAAACTCTTTTGGGGCAGTACTCTATAGAGATACAAACCAGGCCAGACTACAGCTGCTGAAGGCAAGGAAATGATGTTGCAATAACCAAGATGCAAAATCACTGACAGCTTGGATGAAAGCTCAGCAGTGTGCAAAGGCAGGAAAAGCTGTCATGCAGACAGAGTTAGCAGGATTTTGATAGGCTGGATGGAAGGAGAGAGGAAGAGCTGTGAGCTGAAGGGAACAAGCAGATTACTCATTCAGTGAGGAAGCAGCACAGCAGCTGGAAGGGGACAATGCAGGAGCTCTTGGGCAGATGAGAGGATCCAGGTTAGCAATGTTTTGTTTAAGGCAAAGCAGAGATGAGGGGACATCAGAGGTGCACTGAGATCATAGGTTGGTCATAGATGAGTGTTGAGCACAGAAGCAGATTTCCAACACTTTATGAATTCCATTAGCTTTGCCTAGAGAACTCCTTAACCACTCCAGGAAGGCTGGGCTTTACACTGTGAGCCAGTGACTGAAGCTGTTTCAGTACTTCACTTCTCTTGGAGCTACCTCAGCTGACACAGATTGCTCAGCAGATTTCCACAGCTCATTAATATTTTCTGCAAGTTAACTCTCAGACTGGTGGCTGTACTTCAGTGTGTCTCCTGCTACCACTGCCTTTCCAGACTTTTCTCTACATGATGCCCCTCATTTTCAAGATGCTCCCATCTTCCAATAGCTAACAAGAGCTGCAACTTCTGATCCATCCATGACGAACACCTGGATGCAGCAACAGGAATCTGGAAGACTGAATGGCAATTCAGAATTCTGTTTTCTGCATCTGTTTCTTCATCCCCACTGCTTTGAAAAATCCAGCCATGTGTCAAGTTAACATGAATTCTTTCCCTAAACTCCAGTTTTCCTGCAGTGGATCACACACCCCGAGTTAAAAGCCTTGTCAGCCCTTGCTGTTTGTCAAGCTTGCCCATAGAAGTACACAACCACAGACACAACCACAGACACAGACACTAATTAACAACATTCCATTGTGCCACAAATGAGAAATGCCAAGAGATCTACCTGCACCCTGCCCTGCTCCTTCCACAGCTCCCACTTCACGAGCACACATGCACACAGACAGCAGGCAGACAACAATATACAGAGAGAATGAATGGGTCTCTAGTGTTTCAGATTTACCTACAACCGTGTCCTTCCATCAGAACTTTAAGAGTGTTTTGCTTCTGGCACTAGCATTAGCAATCCCACAATACAGACTGTTAAGAAAAACGTTGCTCAACATTAGAGATAGTCAGAAACAGAGTTAGAAAAATCTGGGTGCTTCCCAGGAGCACTCTTCAAATTACTCATGTGCTAGAAGATATTTTACAAACTGCATTGCATAGCTGCTGCCAATGGATTATGCAAGTCTCTGACCAAAAATCAAAAAAAAAAAACAACAACAAACTAAAAATGAATATCCCAATGAATAGAAGAATGTGTACATCTCATGTATTAGAGACACAAACTGAATTTGAAATAAAGGACATGCATATGGAAAGTGCAAATATCTGAGAGGCAGTTGGGGGGAAAGAATTAAATGCAGATAAAACTCTCGCTGGTGAAAATAACATTTGAATTTAATTTTATATCCAGACTATTTTATATCCAGTTCACAGTCCTTTCATTCCTACTGTGGGAAAATGGGAACTGGAAAGAAGTCCCACCAAGGAGGCTCTTTTCTTTCCCTCCTTTTTCCTTCCTGTTTTTTTTAAACTTTAAAGTCTGTGATGACCTAAAGAAAGTAACAAAACAAAACTGTGTCCAATATTTTAAACTCAACTTTCCCTAGGGTCTCAAAACTGCATCTGTTCCATGTGCACTGAACTCAGCAGGAATACATTGTCCAAGATGACTAAAATATCAGAGTCTGCAGTGAGGGACACAAATATAAAAGTAATAGTAAGAAAAAAACATTTAAGAGGTGAATACATACAACCTACAGCTACTGCTTGGTAGAGCTAATTCCTCTTTCAATGTTTCTAGACTGTATTTATACTAAATTGCCCCAAATAAATTTTATCATTTAGCTTATAAACTAGGGTTTTAAAGGGGCATTTCTACATTCAGCCTGTAACATTACCTTGTAGGCAGCTTGTCTCATAAACTGCTTTGCAGGCTGCTTCCATATAGCAGGCACTGTAATCACCCATCTTACTTCAGTGTTTTCAAAGTCCGAGCCTCCTTGGTCACTGAGCTCCTAAAAAAGGGGAAAAAATAAAAAGAAAATAGAGGTGAATGTAAAATGATGGGTGTCTACACATTCTTTTCTGCTGGCTCTGATAACAGTAACCCTCTTTTCAATTTTTTTCCTGTTGCATCCATGCTACAAATCAGAATTACTTCCAACCTGCCAACAATGCTTTACTGTGCCAAAAGGTGGGATTAAGGTTGAAGCTTTCTCAAGGAGGCCTATAGAAAAGTTCAGTGCTCAAAATAAAGCAGAAATGTTGGCTTTTGCAAAAGCAGCAATTTACATTACAACCTATTTATGTACATCCTTAGCTATGGTTTGGGATTTGCTGTTAGCTTGAAGAATTCACACATACGTCTTGATTAATATACAGAAAAATATTTGGGGTATCATTGATGAACATTTATGTTTTACAATCTGGATTTTTCAATGACTTCTTTATACACCACTTACCTTTAAATCAAACTTTTATAATGCAGTTAACAAGGGGAAGTTACAGTTAACCCCTCTAAAAAATGACTGATTGGTCCTTCAAAATTTTGCTTTAAGCAAACATTCAAGACTAGTTTAGTACTTTTACTGTCCTTTTTTTCTCCCCTGAAAAAAGAGGGAAGTCTGTACTGCATTTGCAAATTAGGTGATATACTGACATGTTTTGGGCAAGGTTCCAAGTAAAATGTCATTACCATATGTCCTATCTAAATCTCCATCCAAACAGAGAAAGGTTCAGAGAGGTGGACAACAGGCCTTTAGAATGTGAAAAAAAAAAAGTTTCTGCATGTGCTGAGCCAAGGTGTTGTGTTTGTTTAGCTATGCTGCAGTTCAAAAATCCATGCTGGAAAAGGAGCACCTTTATACTGCACAGGGCACCACAGACAGACACAGCACAGTGCAAAGTAACAGCTCACTTACATGGCATGTCTAATTAGTTCCAGGATTCACTCACAAATGCCAGGGATTTAGTTATTAACACCAGGAAAAGGATGTAGCCCTGAGCAGGCAGAACAGCAAATATATGGGATTTTATCCAACATTCATATTTGCTAAAAATGTCCCCAGTCTACACACAGGTCCAAGTCTGTGACTCCACAACCAACCCCAAAAAAGTACAGTTAAAAATGTCCCTGACAACATGAGGCATTGGAGTGGCAGGATTGTTTCTCTGCAGCCATAGGGAACAGACTGGGATCTCAGAGAAAATAAATTAAACCCATTCAAAAAAGTAGGTTAGCTCTGAACCACAAGGCTATTTTAAACAACACTTGCTTGGATGAATACTCTGATTTGACCCAGGAATTGCTCTGCTCACACTGACATTACAGTGGCCCGTTGGAAGCCAATGTTTACTTAACTCACAATTGACTATTTACATGAGATTTAACATCTCAAAACCTGTTTACTGGGGACATGTATTCCACTGGAGAATAAGAAAAACAATCTTGTGATCCAAGAAGACTGCAACAAATGAGCACTGCAACATTTCAAATCAGAAATGGAGAATAATAAGCTTTTAAATTTTCTTGTCAAATGTACCTTTTTTTCCCCCATTAAAAATACAGTAGAAAATACCTAAGCCAATAAAAAGCTATTCAGGACTCTGCATCACAGGGATGCTATTAGTGAATCAAGCTTGACCTGTGCAAGGGGAAATTACTTCAGGCTATTGTTAGCTCTCCAGAGTCCACAGCCTGCCCAGAGTTTCTACACCTGCCTTGCTTTGTTTACATCAAATACAACTAAGGTCAAAGCTTGGCAAGGCCAAAAATATTAAGCTCATATTTATACTGGTTATAAATACAGAAAATCTTGATAAGGAAGTATTACCCCACCTTTAATGCCTGTTCCTTAAAGAACTGCAGAGCATAAGCAAATATCTCAAGTGCTTTGACTTTTTTGCCATTTGCTGCTGTCAGGTCTGTCTCCATGGTAAGATTCTACATGAAAGAAAATAACTGGAAGTTATTAAAAGAAAAAGGCAAACATCAAATTAATTCCCAGTACTTGAGGACAGTGAACTCTTCATTATTCACCTGATTAGGAAAAAGTGACAAAACTATTCTGAAGAGGATTTAACTCATCACTTGAATTTCCTGGATCATGACACTTTGCTGCTTATTTTAGACTTTGTTTTTAAACACTTACCATGCCTACAGATAATTGCAGGCAGAGAAAGAAATATGAACTAAATATTAAACAACTGCAATAGATACATCTGTAAGTAACTGCAATAAAGTTGCACATGCAAGATGCTTAATCCAAGTTAAAAGTATAGATTCTTGGTTTCCCACCAACAGATGAAACCAGAAAACACCTCAAAACAGAAAGTACTGGCCAATTCCCAAAGCTCTAAAATGGATTAAAGACAAAAACACAATCAGTAGGAATAATGTCAAACTAACAGCCCTACTGGCACTTGCAGTTCTGGCAATGAATTCTGGGTGAATTTGCTTGGCTGCTCTAGAGCTCAGTCTGGCTCTTATATCCCATTCCTGCGGACCAGATTTACTGAACAAACCAACCTCATGCAGACAGGACATGAAGATCTAAGCAAAGCAGATTCCGAACTTTTAAGATCTGCAAGAAAGGCTGGCAATATACAGCTGCCAAATGCAGTGAGAGACAAAAGGAATCATAATGCTAAGTGAAGAGTTTAATTTACTCTGCAAATGCAGAGATGCTTCACTTCCAGTTCACAAAAATTTAGTAATGTTCAGAGGAAAACAACTTGAGTAGCGAACACAGTTTGGGTGTTACTTACACCAGTGGTATGCAGCTTCATCTTAAACTTCTCAAAATACAACCAGTGCTTTGATTCAGTGGGATCCAAGTCATGGTAGAAGTCTCTTGCTGCATAGCCAAAGCTATGGAACTTTCTCTCTGGTGTGAGGAGGATTGTGGTTGGGGTCTTCTGGTTGGAAACACCTGGATCTCCACCTTCCCATCGTCTGGCCAAAAAGTGAAACAGCTCCAGTGAGTGATGCTCAAGGTTAGAGCAGCAGGAAAAAACAAGTGTATCATGAGAAAAAGCCATGAGGTGGCAAACTGCACAGACTGCTTTTCCCTCCAAAGATAGTAATTTCAAACTTTATAATACAAAAATCAAGTGGGTTTATTTCCACCTAAGAAAAAAGGAGTGCCATTTTCATTTCAGGTAATTTAACACATTTTTGTGGTTATGTATAATTCTTAAGGATACATCACACTCAGATAAGAACACAGGTTCCCTGAAGTAAGCCATACACAGTTAAGGAAACAGTTTCGTAATTGTAATTTCTACCTAAGCCAACACATGAAATAAATACTGTAGAGAAAAAAAAAAAAAACAGTAATTATCCAAGAACACTACTAATAAAAACCCAAACATGGCCTTTCCAATTGTGGTTCAGACTTCATGAACGGTTACTTGCAAGGGATACTTTTCCCATTTTGAATTAGGGACCTGCTTAAGTCATCTAACGTTCACCAGGGGGAGGTTGAGTAAATCCCCATTTCTGTCCCAGAGCATTCCCTGAAACAAGACAAGCCAGTTCAACCAACATCTGATCATGTGCTTCATTTCCTAGACACCTGAAACTCTGAAGGCATCCATGCCTGCAGATGCTGAGCTCTCTGCACTGCACTTTCTACTCATGTGAAGTTGATGGATTTTGTGTTTCAAATACCCAAAATGCTGTACAAGGTTTAAACTATCAAAAATGAGGCAGCCTTCCCCAACCTCCAAGGATGTTAAAGGCACCAAAATATTTCTGTCACTACTGGTGAATAAAACTACCCTATCTCATCAAGATTGTGATGGTATTTTTAGAGGATACCCATGAAAGTATTAAGGCAAAGGTAAACCCAAAGGTCAGACAGCAGAAAGTTGTAGAAACAGCTGTGAGCATTCCTTCTCCATCCCAAAAAAAGGCAGAATGGAAGAAACTCACATTACTGTTCCTCCCCCCACCATATACAAGTACTTTCTGTATGAGAAACAAACATTTACCAGAAAACATTTTCTTAAAAAGGCATCAGTGGAAAATCTGTTTATGCTCTCAGACATAATCATAACACAGCTCAAACAGGAGCCAAGTTAAGATCACACAGGCAACTGCATTCATTATTAAACTACACGTCAATTGCTTTTTCTAAAGATAGCAAAACGTACTTTCAGAACATACTCCTGCCAAAGCCCTCATTCTGAAGCACAAAAAGTCTGCCTTGCTCTGTGGTAGCTGTTTATGTGACATAGGAAGAGTATGCAGAAAAAATAATTTCCATTTCACTCTCAAAAACAGTTGACTCCATTGAACATTGATTGACCTCCAGACCAAGGCAGAAAACTGACATGGCAAACTGCAATCTAAGGGGTTGGTACTTGGCAAAGTAACAAGGAATGGGATCTTCTGAAAGGCTGAGACCCCTTCACATCATTCAACTGGATCAAACAGAGCAAAATCTCTCTTTTTAGCTCAAGCAGCAGAGAATAACACACCTGAACTTCCCTCAGTGCAGAGGACAATTCCACTGCCCTGAAAGCAGAAACAGCATGATGAGGAGTGGAATGACTTCACTTGAAAAAACTTCCCTAAATCTGCCCAGTTCCGCTGCACAGCCCCTGAGCCATCATCAGCTGGCAAGGGCTCTGCTCCAGATCATTGCTTCCAACCTCCTGCTAGAAATGCACTTGGTCAACTCCAAAACCTTTGAGTAGGTGTTACAGCAAACATATGGTTCCAATGTGAAGAAGCTGGGATCTCACAGCTCATGAACAGAAAACACTGCTATTCCAGCAGATTGTTAAATCCCACACACCCGCTGCAAGCAGAGAGGAGACAGACTGATATCGTTTTTGCTTGGAATCATTAATGATTCATTCTGAGTCACTGGTGGGAAATGCCATAAATAGGCTGTGGCTAATAACAATGCTTCTTTGTTTTTCATTATGACCAGGCACATTTTCTCTTTCTGGAATAAGCATGCTTAAGGTGCAGTTTAAATGAAGACAAATTTACGTTCAACGCCGCGGGATGAAATTTTCAAAGCCACCTGGAGAATTGGATGTTTGCTTCCTGATGAGTTTCTGATGGAAACTGGACACAGTAATTGCTCAGCACCTTCCAAAGCCCCCAGCTTGTATTATTGTTCAGTCACAGAAAGCACAGCAAGGAAAGACAAGGGGACGCAGGACTCTACCATCTGCAATCTGAGATTTAGAAATACTCGTGTGTGATGTTTTTCTAGAGAGAAGCAGATGCAAAAGCATGGGAATGGTAATTCCTGGCTGCAACACTCTTGCCAGGTGGAGCCCTGGCCTCCCTCCAGCTACAGGAGGATTTTCCTGCTGCTCTAACCTTTTAGTCAGTAGGACTAAGACAGCAATGCTTTCATTTGCAGTTTCCTTTCATGGTTCCAATACAGGCAAAATAATGGTAAAAATCAGGAAAAATAAAAAGGAAATGCCTATCAAAGGCATAAACCTATACAAGCCAGAACTGCTATAAATACATGTGAGGGATATTTTTGCAGTGCAGAATCACAGTTTAAAAAAAACTATTCAAATAGAAACAAGGTAGATTTCTTCCAAATGCAGACATATGAGTTCCTAGGATGACATAAAGTGAAGTATCTGAACAGAAATATAAACAACATAGACGTGTTTATAACCACAGAGCATCTAACTGTATACTAGAAGTGAAAATAGAAACAAGAGAGTCAGTGAGGAAGGAAGGACAAGATTATACAAAGGTTAGAGAAATGCTTTTACTTCCACTTCAATCTGGCTAAGACAGACCAGAGAGGGACTTGTGCAGAGTGATGGGAATTTGATCCAGAGCTGTAGCACCACAGGCAAGGAAATGAAACACTGGGGTCATCAAAAGGCAGCTGAATGCCACCAGCACGGTGTATGCAGAAAAAAGGCAGGTGTGTGCCTCCCAATAAATACAGTCAAACAGGGAAGAGAGGGAAAGGGCAAAAACCTGAAGTTGCACTGAAAAGAGACCACATTCTCCCTCCTTCCAAAGACAGACTGCCATTTGTTTCATAGCCACATGCATTTCTTCATTAATTTCCATTTGTGAAATACTCCCATTCAGCTACCCAGCCAGTAGCCAAAACATCTGTAACTTCATGTAAGCGCATATAACCCAAGAGGAGTTTTGCACAACTGTGTAATATCTCAATATTCCCTCCAAATGAGATGCTATTAACTCATTGTACAGCAGCAAATTTTCTGTGTGGCTCTGGCACTGCCCTGCTCACTGAAGTGCTGAGCTCATGGCCAGGCAGCTCAGATGCCTTTCCTCCAGTCTCAAATTATGCTGCAAAGAGCAGTCACTGTAACACATTCCCTCTGCAAAAAGAACCTGAACCACAGCTACCTGTAACAGAAGCTGGGGGCAACTATCAAGAGTTGTCAGTACTACCTAGAACTGATAAAACAGTACCAATGTTTTGCAATCAAAGTGAAGTCATTCACTGAACATTTACAAACCCACACCCAACTCCAAACACGCTGAGATGAGTGAGGCCACTCATACATTTAAAGATAAATATATGCTGAAAGAACTTTGTTCATTCAATGCTTATAAAATCTTTTTTTTTTAGCACTGAGCATCACAGCAAATAAACACACAGTCAAAAATGTGACTTTGTTTGCCTCCTAATTACATAACAAGAATCATGGCACTGCTGGCACTACACTCAAATCCGGAGCTAAAGCCCTGTGTGTTCACCCTTTTCCAAAGTAGGACCTTCTAAACAAACCCATCTTACCCTTTTAGAGAAAAGCAGCTTTGTTAAAAGGCAGTCAGAAACCTAAGTATCTGGAAAGAATCAACACTAAGGAGGGAAGGTGGAAAAAAAAGTTAGGAAGTAGAGAGGACCATGCATCACTGGTGTGCTTTATTTTAATGTAAACACTCTCGAGTGCCGGCGGGAAGCTACATTTACTCTGCTGAAATATTTGTAAGTCATCCTGCATGCAAGCCTCATTATATACAGCCCTTAATACCTTCTGAACTACTGCAGACTTACCTTAATGAATAGATCATTCTTTTGAATGGTTGAATTCATGATTGAATTTCATGATTTCATGAGTATTAATATATATAAATATATATAAAAATATTACATTTATTATTTAGCAAGTCTGTTTCAATTATATCTTGTCCAAATCCTTTCCAGAGAGAAATATCTATTTAAAAAATTAAGATAATTCTTGGTATTAAAATATTTGCCATTGATTGAAATACCTGTTGGAAATATGAATACACCCCCCCAAAAAAAGTTCCTCCCCTCTGGTTGGAAACACCAGAAGTAATGGAAACATGGTTTCCAACTTCATGGTTGGAAACACCATGAAGTAATTTATTTCATTTCTTTCAACTTGAGTATCTCATATCACAGCTACATAGCTCTGAAATCACAGTCAAGCTGCCATTACTGCATAAGGAGGAAAATGTCGTGTTTTGAACCACAAGCAGCCAAATGTCAGCTGAGATTTGCAATATAATCTCAGCACCTGGATTTCAATGTCCCAGTGACTGACAACAGGAAGCCCGGTAAGGAGAAGGGATTTCCCCAGGGAAGGAGAATCTAATCCATATTGTGAATCCAGCAGCAAAACCAGGTCCTAAGGTAAAACTTGAGCCCAAGGCACCTCAAGGACTTCCCCAGAAACACCAGTGATTCCACACAGTAAAACTTCCAGCATTTACAGGAGCAACACAGAGTTGTTCTAAACACAATTTAGGCTTGCTCAGATACAGCTTCTCTCTCGTTCCATCGAACTTCTTTAAGGACTTTAATTAACGAATTAATTGCTGCCAAAGACAGCAGGAATTGATAAACATGGGTTCCAGCCTGCCCACCCTGAGAGCTGTCTGAGGCAGCAACACAGGGTGTGTCCTTTGACTTCAGCCTTGTGCACCTTCCAGTGCTGCTCAAAGAACAAGACATGGCTGAAATGCAGAAAAGACCTGGAAAACATTACTTGTCCATCCTGCAAAAGGTAGATAGCTTTGCAACTGGATGGCAGACTACCATTTCTAAATTTACTTTCCTTCCGACAGTATTTTAAATCCCTCAGCTGCATTAGTGTGCAGCTATACACAAACCAACTATGCAGGCTGATTGCACAATCAATAGTGTCTGCTGAGATTTAGGGAGCTGCATTCAGCCACCACCTCTGCTTAGAAAAATGCAGTATATCACACTGGACTGCAGCAAATTATGCTTTTTGACCTTTTGTTCTCACAGTACCTACTTCTGCAACAGCAGCATCATTTACAAGAACAGCTATGGTTGAGCTTTCCATATAGAATTTTTTATGTTTAAAATTATCTACATCTTGCTCTCATTAGTAATTTTAAATATATTATGATAAGAATTAAATATGTTTTAAGTTATAAATAAAAATTTTAAAAATACTATAAAATATTATAGCAATGGCTTGCAGGGCAAACATCTCAGGTAGCTGCCATAACAGTTTTTGCATTTGTGACTGCATAGAGTTGTATTGTGCTGATTTAATAAAGAAATAAAAAATAAAAAACTCCCTACATCACAGCATCTAAACTCTGTCCTTTACACACATATAACACAGACAGATTTCACATCAAGCCTTCATTTTCATATTCATGCCTTTTGATTGCTTATTTCCCAACGTCAATGGATCACTGTCATAGATTTGATTCAGATTTAATACCACAAAGTTTACATCAGCCAAATGAACTCCCAGTGCAAGTAATCAAGTGTTGTACACCCAACTATACACAGTGTGATTCCAGGGGATGGGCAGCTCCTGGATGTCATGACTTTGGAAAATCAGTGTCTGAGATAAGGGCATCCTGACTTACTGATTAACTGTGCTCCCTGAACAATTCTGAATACTCAGATTCCTCCTTCTATTCTGTCATCTTGTAACCTCAGCAAAATAGGAAAGGGGATGTGCTCCCATGGACTGCTAAAGCAAATCAGAATACAATAAGATGCAATAAAAAGTCTTAACCATGAGAAATCTGCACACTGTGATAATGCCAGACAAATCCAGGCTCCTGCAGAAAATATCTATGGCTACTGCAGGCATCCCATGTTCTCAGAGTCACAAAGCAAATGCTGCATTGCAGCCCTTACCTCATTACATGAATACATTCTGGCTCCTTGGTGAAGCTGTAGGCGTAGCCACTGGAAGTTGTGCCAAAATCAATAGCCACAACAACAAGAAATAACTGTTCTACAGCATCCTCTGCATCAGAGTCCTTCTGTTAAGCAGCAGAAGCAAAACACACACAGTCACTGATCAGAATCTTTGTAACCTGCCACAAGTTCTGCTCTGCAAGACCTGCATATCTCTTCAGTGAACATGAGGACTTCTCTAAATTTACCCTTGTGACCAAAGTTGATACCAGAAGGCTGCACATTCCAATGGAATTGGAAATTCAGTGCATGACTCAAAATATATGCTAGAGCCTTTTATACATCATTTTCTATTCAAAGCTTCCTTCATACTCATTTCTGGAATACCTCTTATGCTGTATTATTAAAACTTTTGGGTTTGGGGCTGGTTTGCTTGATTTTTTCTTAAACTGATCAACTGAAGAGTTTGTCCATCAATGTGATATATTTGGGACCTACTTGGTGGTTTTAGGAGTTAACTATACCATAAGTATGAAAATGAAATACAATTACCATTCAAAAACAACAGAGACAAACCCACCCAAAACACAGGAAAATAAGGTTTACATCCCATGTTACAAAGAAGAATTTACATAACACCCATTTAGCCAGCACTACATGCTGCACTCCTCCTGCCTGTGCTGGGATGAGGGAAGCTGTTCAGCTGCTCATGATGAATTTGAATCCTTCTCCTGCCTTTCACCTGTAATCCTGCAATCCCTGCAAAGCACAGTCAAGGGCAATATGCTCCAGACCCTTCACCAGCCTTATTTCCCTAAATCCACCAGGACTGCTCAGCCTGTACTCCCAGAAACACTTGGAAGCAAGTGATGATACCTCTCACAGAGCAGCTGCCTCATGGCCTCACTCTCTGGGCAGTGCTCCACCACAGATCTCTGTTAATTCCACACCTCTCCCTTTCTGCACATTCCTGTTGTCTCCCTACATTTTCCAAGATCTCTCCATACACCTGCTACTTGAAATGGAGAAACAAGAGCAACAAGTTTTGGTCTCTAATCATAAGAGACTTGTTTGGATTCTCCTAATGAAAGTTTTTCAACTAAGGCAATGTCTTCTTCAAAGAGTTTAAGGAGCAAATTGAACTGAAATATGATGTAATTCATCAGTGTGACAGAAGTAAAAGAGGAATTTCAAGAGTATATAGAGAAAGAAGGGAATAAGAGCCAAAAACTATGGGAGAGAGCACTGGAAATCCTGAAGATGGATTTTTGCACAATTCTGAACTTGGATCAGAAAGCTACGGCAGTGTTCCACCATAGGCTGACAAGGATACAAATGTGCTCTGAACACAATCCCTTGCAATAACATAAAGCACACTGTGCATGTGTTACAAATCATACAAGTGATCTTAAAAAAGGGTGGGAGTTAGTTTTAATAAGAGTTTAGCAACAAAATTAGCACAATGTACAAGAGATTAAAACACACTACCTATGGGACATGCTCTTGGTTCTAAAAGCTTACAGAAGTGGCTATTTTCTTTAATAAATGAATCCAGTTATTTCTATTCAGAGCTTCTACATCTCTCTCTCTCTTTGGGCAGATTCTTTTCTCTGAGAATTTAGGTTTTACTGTTGAGTCCCATGTATATCCTCCATTTTTTTTTCCTGAAAGGAAGAAGACTTCTCAGGGGCTGCCTAAACCAATCAGTGATAAAGACAGGGAAAGACCTTGGGAACCCTGAGAATCAAGAAGCCCCTGTGTTTGATATAAAAATATGCAGGAGCAATTCTATGAGCTTAGCAAATGAAAACCAGCAAAACCAGGAGCCTAAGGAAAGGAATCAGAGCTCTGTCAACAACTCCACTGTGACCAAAATCTCACTTACTACTATGGATAACATAAAGGGGATCAGTATGGGGGAAATGACAACTCTAAAGAAATGATGTCCCACTATACAGGCAGGAGAAGGTGATGTAAGCATGCAGTATAATTCAAGAGTGCATTTCTTACCACAATGTGTGATGGAGACAGGGGAGTTATTCCAGGGTCTCCCAAGCTTTTGGCTGGTGATGAGTAAGCAGATGTGGAAACTGCATCTGAAAGGAAGCAAACACCCATCAGTGACAGCAAGCGGAATGAGTAAATAAAACAGTTACTTTGCACACTGCTAAACTGTTTTCCAGTTGTAAAGAATCTGCTAAAACACAAAGCAAATTCCACAGCTGCCATCTAAAACATGTTCTGCCTTTAAAACATGCTAAGACACAACTGTCGTTTTGGTTTTAAAATGTCTGTCTGACCTTCATGACTATTACCATCCCTTTATTACATTGTCATATACAATCTTAAAAGTCCTCCTAAACATATTCAAAAATCATAGTTGGTACAAGCAGCTTGAGCACCACAGACTGCCTAGAATTTAAATGCATGAATGCAGAAACTAAACACAAGCTGTGAGATCCAAAAAGACAGACCCATTTACAAGAAAAAGAGGAGCTGAGAGCAACTGGAGAAAGCAGGAAGAGTAAGCTGCAATTCGTCCATCCTGAGCATTTATTCTGAAACTTGCCCAATACTCTGTTTTTATCCTTCACTACACTCTGCACTGGAACATCCTGCAGCTGTTAATACTACTGCAGGACAGAATCCAGCTGGGAAAAAGGAAAGCATTATTAACAAGTCATCAAAGAAATATTTCTACCCGGCATACAATACTAAAACTTCATTTAAAGGCACAGACCAAATGAGTAACAAATACTGTAATGCACTAATTTTATTTTTCATTCTTTCATTTACATTGTTGATGACAGAAAAAGAAATGGCTTAAAACAAATTAAGCTTAGATGGATTTATATATAATCTGAAGAATGCAATAGTTTATCAAAATAGAATGTACAAAAGGTACCCACACCCTGTCCATGCTCATACCCCTCTGCTCCAAAATTTAAGCCCCGAGTGCTTACTGAATTCTCTTCCACAGAATACAAGCTATAATTAGATGTAAAGCAGAATGATGTAATAGGCCTCTGAACATGATTAATAATAATTAAATAATAAGTAATACATTTCAATGTATTTTTATCACCTACTTGGATGCATCACACGTTTATTCATAGCATGTAATGCCTAGACATGACTGACAATTCAGAGCATCAGTCCAAGATGACACTGGCTCTCCAAGACCTCAGAATTACATGGGGAAAAATGGCAATCAAATATATCTTGTTTCTCAGGGAAGATTCAAAAACCCTGCAGTGGGTAAGTATGAGAGAATTCGCCTGCAGCGAAAAAAAATCTTCCTCCAAATCTTAATTTTGGTCTTGAAACTTCATATATTTCTTGAAGATATAACATGCATGTTCAGCCTGATTTTTAGAAGCATTTGCAGAAGCACAGTATTTGCATTTTCTACACTAATTCTCCAGGAATATATTAAGTTACTCCTCTTGCAGTGAAGTACAAAAAGTCACAGGCCAAGTGTGACAAGCACAGAATCTGCTCTGTTCATTAAGACATCTTTGGAACAGATGCTGTTATCAGCCTCCTTTGTGCCATTTTTACCTCTTAATTTTTGCACCAGCAACATGGTATTTATTTTAGAATTGAGAAACAGTATCTCAACACAGAAAAAAAAAATTAAATAACTAACAAAATACATTCCTTGCATCCTGCTGTAATTCCTGGCTGGACCTGCACTACACTTCCTGAGCAGACCAGGACATTGCAACAGTGACTCAACATCTTTGGAAACCTGCACTTTACCCACATTTAGGATGCTGATTTGAAGCACAAAATGTAGACATCAATCCATGTGTTTTCAGTGTTTCACTTTGCCACCATGCTGATTTGAAGCACAAAATGTAGACATCAAGCCATGTGTTTTCAGTGTTTCACTTTGCCACTTTTTGGTTACCTGTTTCGGCACTCATGTTTCACAGATGAGCTGGGGCAGCTCCAGAGGAGGCCACAGAGATGATGACAGGGCTGGAGCACCTCTGCTGTGCAGACAGGCTGGGAGAGAAGGCTCCAGGGAGACCTCAGAGCACCTTCCAGTACCTAAAGGGGGCCTACAAAAGTCAGAAAGGGACATTTTACAAGGGCGGGTAATGACAGCACAAAGGGAAAGGGCTTTAAAATGAAAAAGGGTAAATTTCCATTAGACATCAGGGTGAAATTCTTTACTGTGACACTGGAGATGCACTGGCACAGGTTGTCCAGAGAAGCTGTGCAAGTGCTCAAAGCCAGGCTGGACAGAGCTTGGAGCAACCTGGCCCAGTGGAAAATGTCCCTGCCCATGGTTGAAACAAGATGATCTTCAAGGTCCTTTCCAACCCCCCAAACTACTCTGTGTTTCTAAGGTGCATTTTCCAACCTGTCTTCAGCTATCAGCCTTGAAAAGTTATTTTTATCTCTGTATGCAACTCAGAAAATTCTGTGTGACAGGATACACATTTTTGTATCTCAGAAAGCAGTGAATAAATATCCAGAGCAATACTGACATCCATCCAATGAAACCACTAACTTTGGTGGTGTGGTACCAAGAATTAATCCTAATTAATTAATAAAAAAGACCCCTCCAAACCCATGACCATCCAGCACTGCCTTCATGGCTCCTCCTGCAAATACCCAGCTAAATAAAATAATTCTACAATGCATCCTGGATCTAACGCCAAAACTTCTTAGCAGGCAGTGAAATGACTGTTAAAAGCAAATTAAATTAGGATATTTGTAACATTATATTATCTACCCCATCTGAACTGCAAGGTGTTAAAATATATTTGTCTGTGTGGGAGCTTTTGTATTTTGTTGAGTTAGTGTTTCCATGGTGAAAAAAATGTGCACGTGTAACAATTTTTACAGCTGTGTTCTGAAGAACAGTAAATGCATGGATATTCCAGGATGTTTAAAAATCCCTTATCTCTAAAGCACTGTGATTGGTTGATCTGACAGAAACAAAAGCATCTGTTCCAAGCCAGAGAATGGGAAAAGGGTTCCAAGGAACCTGATTTGCAATCAGGAAACTGAAAAATGATGCTTAGACTGTCCTGGATAGGATCAGGGTATTTGGAACAGTTCTTGGAATCAGAATGACTTAGAATGACTAATTATGGCTTCTGCAACAAAAAAACATAATCAAGTAATGTTCTACATAGCTCAAGTTCCAGCTTTATCTCCATGTTTACTAAGGATCTTTATCTCTGTCAAACTACATGCTATGACAAAAACACAGCTAAACAGTATGCACTAAATAAACACTTAAATTCTTGCCAATTTACACACCAAATTAAACTGAGGAATCTGATTTAGAATCCAAATTAAATAAGTCCTCAAACAAACCAGTATTTAAAATAATCTTTTTCTAAATATGATGTAAACTTCTTGAATAAAAATTCTTATATTTACTTCTGAGCTGAATATTAACCTGGAATATGGTTTGGATAATTTCAATAAATACGTATAGACTACATCTGAACACATTAGGATTTCTGACTTAAGTCCTAACCTAAGCAATTGGCAAAGAACACCTTGTGCATTTTTAAGGTGATCAGAAGTTGAAGGGAAAACAGAGAAGGCTCCCAAACCATTACAGAATTAGCAAAATTATGAGATCAGAAGATATTGTATTAATAATGAAATCATGTCCATTATCACATTAGCTCCAATTGCTGGTTTAGCAGACTTAATTTAAATTAATCCTTCTTTTCATCTAAACAGATGCAAGAGTTTATTTTCTGTGGTTTCCTGCAATGCCTAATCTGTTTAGCTCTTTCTGTTCTTCAGTAAATGATCAGCAACATTGTAGATTTTGACAAAATGCAACGAAGGATTAACCTTTAAGTGTCAAAGAATGCAGACTAAAAACAAAGTCCAGAGCATTTATAAAAACTTTGCTGATGCAGTGTGGATATTTCACTGATTGAGTGTTCAGCTGAATCTGATTTTCTGACAGATCTGGAGAGCAGGACCAAGCTCATTATTTAATTAGAAAAATCAGTTAATGGCAGCTGGAAGGCCATCAGTCTGTTCTGAATTTTTGAGAGCCCCTGCCAGACATTCCTACTCAGGACTGGATAAATGAACTTTAGGGAACTACTAAAAAAGCCAAACATGGACCAATACAGTCCCAGATAATCAGCCTCAAGCCAGCAGCTAAAGAAGGGCGAGTGCTGGACCTCCCAGTCACAAGCCACTAAGGTGGTACTCAAACAAACAAAAAAAAATATCAGCAGCCACACAAAATCTTCCCTTTTCTGTTCAACTTTTCATCTGTATGTAATTCAGCTACATAAGGCATCAGTAAAATTTTCTGCTTCACATATTATGAACCTTGTTTGTTTCCCCAGTGAAGGAGATGCCAGAGCAGTGGATTCTGTCTAACCCAGGTGCCATAAACAATGGATAAAGTAGAGTGGGCTTTGTCACCAGGGAGAATTTAACAGGACAAATAAATCAGGAACCTGGGAATCAGGGTGTGGGGCTGTGCAGCATGATGCCCAGAAATGCTGCCACACCAGGGAAGGGGGGACATTTCTGAATGTGCCTTGTGTCACCAGTTCTGTGTATGGAAAAGAAACAACTTTTTTAAAAAGAAGAAATAAGGATTCAAGCCCCAAGTCTGCCATCAGAAACCATTTCAGGTACATTCTGCACTACTTTGGAGTGATGGCTACAAAAGCAAAGGCTTCACCAGAGAAGCTGCACTTTCCAAATCTTCTCCGACCTCACTCCCACATGACTGGACCTCTCTCCTACAACTGTTTCACAAACCAAAGAATAAGCAAAGGAACATCTGTAAGAACATGCCTGGACACCTGTCTGTATTATATCCCAATCATAAGTAAATTTGTATTTCTGTCCTGAAAGAGTGCCCACAAACCCAGCACAAACTCTTCCCACAACTTTCTGAATCAACAACAGGATCAATACCATTCCCCACTTCAGATCAGAGTTCCAGTACTTTAGTAAGTGCTTTCACAATAAAGACATCAGTGAGTCCCAGCACAGCCTTTTCCAAACTCCCAGCTGAGAGTGGTGCAGGACACCACCCTGGCTCAAAAGGAAAGCTGCAATAACTCTTTTTGATTTGTGTAATGCACAGCCACTGCTCCAAATGCCAAATCATCCCAGCACTCAGATATTTGTAGACTCCTGAACCAGGTGCACAGGGGAAGTTGGGATGCATTAGACCTACTAAAAATGTCTCTATTGCAGCTGATCTTTGTGGCTCCAATAAATCCATGTTAACTGAACTCACCGTGAACACACTGAACATGTCACAAATCAAACATTGCAAGCATCTCATGGCCCTTTGTCTGCAATTTCCAGCCTCCAGCATGTGGTAAAGGTGAATGCTGCTGTGTGTATACACACTGCTCTGCTCTCAGTCAGGTTGTGGGTAATACCAAAATCTTAGCCAAATTCTTTATTTCCCATTCAGGCACTACATCTGGATTTAAAATTTAAGAAAAAAAGAAGGGAAAAAAAGGGAAAAATAAGGATGTACTGAACCAAACAGGGGTATAGATCAGCCATCAGGCAACAAAAGAATGGAATAAACCCATTATTTTTCATTCAAAATATTATAACCTTTTGAGCATCAAAATAATTTTGACCCAAGCAAACCTTCCTAATGATGTCTGCACAAGAAAAGAGGGGTTTACCATATTGCTATTAGCTGGCAACTGCTGCACTGATGAAGAAAACCTTATTCAGCTTTTCCTATTGCTGAGATTTTCCTTTGCATTAGGAACAAAATGCCAGAGCTTCCAAATGCAATGTGACAACCTAGAGCATTTTACTGTAAATACAAAGATGGCCTTTTAAAATAATTACAGAACAATAAAAAGAGAGATGGAGAGAAGCAAAAAAAAAGTCTTAAAATATTCTTATGCATAACAAAAGGATCCCATATTTCATAGCAGAAGTAAGAACCTTCTGTTCCTGCTGAAACCAATGGAACCACTGTTATGACCATCAATTAAAGTCCTTTGTTTTAAAATGCCAGCAGGCATCCAGCTGGTTTGCTGAAGACTGCAATACACTTCTCTTCCAAGAATACAGCCATAGCTAATCTCTGATACAAATCCAAGTTTCCTGATACCCTTTCATAATATCTAGTCCTCCAAAGAACTGGAATTCATTGCACTGATACCAATTAGAGCACGAGGATTTCCTAAGTAAAAATAAATAAATAAAAAATCTCCCAATACTTTGCACAGAATTCTAAAAATAAGACATGTTTGTCATTACAACTTTGACCTTTTCCATTTATTTCTTTTATATTGTCTCCCATCACAATTATGCTTTGACTAGAGGGATTACATTTTTACTACACTATGAATGCTTTCTAAGGTAATTTTAAGATTTTACCATTATTGTTAAGAGTATCAAAAACCAACCCCAGTTTCATCCCATCACTCGCTCTGTGGACAATATTCATTTTCCCGAGCCTCAGCAGCAATGGGAGACCAAAAGACGCCACCAATTTTCTGTGAACTTAATTTGAGGTGAAAGAAACACGCAAGAACTCGCAATAACCTCCTGAAAATGCCACATGGGTTATGTTCACTCCTCCTCTATCTGACAGGACATAAGCTAAAATACTTTACTTACAACTCATCTGATCTCTCTAATGCTTGGTAAGATGGACTAAAGCTGAGCAATCACACTCACTGGGTGTGTGATGCCCCAGCTCACCAACAGCTAAGGGTGTCCTTAAGCTGCCTTCAACTCAAACCCTTTCACCCTCTACACTGCAAGGTCCCAAATCCAGCTCCACCCTGAATGCCCTGAGAGATTTCCAGCTTCTGTGATCAGTCAGCTCCCTTTTCCCTCCCATTTCCTTCCCCACCCCCTGATGGGATTGCAGCGTGCTCAAAACCTGCTCACACCCCAGAGCCTGGGGTGAGGGGAACTCACCAGCAGTGCCCTGCAGGGATCCCTCTCTTCCCACATCCCAGCTCCTCCACAGCCATGCACTACTGCCAGGAGACACAACTCTGATCCTGGTTTACCTCCAGCAAAAGGCAGCAGGTGTTATGTTGTGATAAAGGTGGGTTAACAACAG